CATACATTAATATATCTCAGTGAATCATAACATCATGTACATCCACAAGGCACTAATTTAAAAAAAAGTATAAATTAATTGCAGAAAGATCAGTAGAGTAGATGCAAGGGAGGAGGGAGTGCTGGGGACTAAATTGGAGCAAATTATATTTCATATCTTGATTATATCAAAGTGTATCCTAATTTGTATATAACTAAAAAGAATACACACACATATGTATGTACATATTTATGTATATGTATATATATATATGGAGAGAGAGAGAAGAGGAGAGAGGCAGCAGACAGAGGAAATAAAAATAAAACATTAAAAAACAAAATAAATATAAAACATATAAAACAAAAATAACATCTCTTTTTATATATACAAAATTTATATATATTATATATTATAAATTATATATATAGAGAGAGAGGGGCAGAGAAGCAGAAATAAAACAAAAAAAGTTATATTTTTGTCTATTAAAGAACTGTTCAATGATATGAGCCTGTTTTTTTTTCTTTCTTTTCTTTTTTTTTTCTTTTAACAAAAATCCTTTCTGTTATAGTTTGGACCTAGAACATCCTCCTAAGTCTCCTGTGTAGGGCTTTTGGGTAGTGATTGGATCCTGAGAGTTCTGACCTTATCAGTGCATTAACCCATTAATGACTGAATGGACTACTGGGAGGTGGGGCCTAGTTTGGGGAAGCCAGTCACTGGGGCAGGCCCTAGATGGTCTTATCTTCTCTATAGCCTCTTCTTAACTCTCTCTTCTCTCTTTTCTTCCCAGCTTCCATAGTGGAGCAGCTTTTTTCTGCTTTTCTCTTTCACCATGATGTTCTGCCTTTCCTCAGGCCGAGAGCCACAGAGCTGGCCCACCATGAACTGAATACTCTGAAACTCTGAACCAAAATAAATCCTTGATACTGTTAGTTGTTCTCATTTTGGTCACAACAACAAAAAACTAACATATTCCCCAAATAGAAAAATATAAGTGTTTATCTCTCTATATGAGCATATATGTCTTTATACATATAGGCATCTATTTAAAATACCTATAGTTTTGTGATTTTTTTTGGAAAGCAATGATTAGTTCTGCTCTTCTGAATCCAAGAATAAGAGAAACAGACTGCAGATAAGTAATAAATCTGATTTTTTCTCACATCACAAAGTGTCTGGAGATAAGCATCCAGGCTAGTACATGACTCAAAGAAGACACAAGTCAGACCTATATTTCTGCTTCACCATTTTTCAGTAAATTGGGCTTTTGTTCTGGTGGTTGGTGGCATTGTACATTTGTGTTTTAGAAAAGAAAAACATGGAGGGCAAAGAATACCTAGGAAGAAAGAGCAAAGAACATTTTCTTGTGAGTACAGATTACTTTTTCCAGGAACATTTTTTTGGGAGAAACAGAAATTTATTAAGAATCATCTCTGCAATCCCAGAAGCCAGGGACAGTGCTCCATACCTATAATAACAGCTGCTTGGGAGGCTGAGGCAGGATAATAGTGAGTTCAAAGCCAGCCTCAGCAACTTAGTGATGTCCTATGCAATTTAGTGAACCCCTGTCTCAAAATAAAAGATAAAGAAGGGGCTGGAGATGCGGCTCCATGATTAAGCACTCTTGAGTTCAATGCCTGTTACGAAAACAAAAGAAAGAACAAAAGACAGAAAACAAATAATATCAACAACAACAACAAGAAGAAAAACAATATCAAAAGACAAAAACCAGAAGAAACAAATCACCATATGAGCTAATCTTCCATGAATCTGACCTGTCACATTCCTATATGTATGGATGAAAACCCAGATGCAGCCAAGGTCTTATATGTTTGAAATTCCCTCACAATGACTTCTTGTGAGTTCAGAGTAAGAACTAGCCCAGTCACATCTGGGATTTACCCATGGTGGCCATCTCACTTTTTGGTCTCAGGACCTTTCCACCTTAATAATGAGAAAGGACTCCAGAAGCTCATTGCTTCACTGGGTTATGGAGACTGACATTTACTTGTTTAGAAATTAAAACTTATAGGATAGTTCAATGGTCTTTTAACATCTGAATATCTGTAATAACTTTTGGTTTTTAAAGACTCATCATAACTACACTCAAGGAACTCAATTCCTTTTCTTTCAACTCAGAATGATTGGTGTCAAAGGGATTATAGCACTTTGCAGACACCATGATGCTATAACAAAATACTCTGTTCCCTAAGACACTATAAAACATGGTATTAACACCTAGGGAGTTGACTGGGAGGAAAGATTCATCATAATTTCCCCATAAGGCCCTCTTCAGATTTCTGCTTAGCAACCCTCACAGAATTGCTGGTCAAAGACACTGGGAGGGACTCGCATGTATGTCACAAGTTTCTCATCTGCAGACCATATTTTCGGTTCATAGATGAATTCCTGAGGTGAAATCTGTCAGCTACTTTTAAGACTTCTCTTATTTCTCCCAGAAGGAAAACTGTGCCAAAATTCACCAGGCAACCTCCACTGCAGTTATTAATGCTTCAGCCTTTCAATCACACTAAAACTTTCTTAGAAGCAGTGTTAATGTACTGCATCACCATTTTTATTTTGCAACTGAAGGCTTTTCCTACAACAATCCTTCTTTAACTTCATTTAAATTCATATCTTCCATCATCTTTTTAAAAACTTATTAAGACTTCATCCTCTGACAGTGGCTTTGGAAAGTTTTCTATCATCTCTGAAGATGCTATAAGCCATCACTACTTGCAAATGCTGTCTTCAGGTTGGGAAAAAGGAATCTATCATTCTTGCTCCCTGGAATTCTTATGCTGATACATTTGTCCAGCCTATTATCTGTCAGGGTCCTATTATTTAAATGCTGGGTTGGAATCTGGCTCTGATGGTCATCAGTTGTGTGACCTTGGCTACTTAAACTCACTCTCCAGAGACTTCTAAGTAAGGCAAGAGGGGCAAGGGCTGAGTGATTTGATTAATCAATATTTTCATAAACTATGTTAGCTTCCCATCACTGACAAAATACCTGAGATAATCAACTTAAAAAAGAGGCAATTTTAATTTTGGCTCAGTTTCAGTCTCTGGTTGGTTGGCTCTGTTGCTTTTAGGCCTGTAGCAAGGTGGTAGATCATAGCAGATGTACTTCCAGAGGAAATTAGCCCAACTCATGGCAGTCAGAAAGCAGAAACAAAGGGTGGGGTGGGGTGGGGAATGGGGCCAGGGGCCAATATCCAATAGCCCCTTCAAGGGCACACTCCCAATGACCTAACTTCCTTCTTCTAGGTCCCACCACCTCCAAAAAGGATCTCCCCAAGGACCAAGACTTTTTTAGGGAACATTTCAGATCCAAGCTATAACATAAATTTAAGATAACAGTATTGTAAGTGACCAATATACTTACTAGAAATAATAAAACTTTACTCAAAAACGATATTTGATTTCTTGGTGATATACCTAAAGTGAGGTAAAAAAAAACATACTCTGGGGCTCCGGCTGTGGCTCAGTGGCAGAGTGCTTGCCTAACATGTATGAGGCACTGGGTTCGATTTTCAGCACCACATGTAAATAAGTAAAGGTCCATCTACAATTTAAATATATATATATATATATATATATATATATATATATAATAAAAAAGTACACTGCACACACATACACACACACACTCTCCATCGCACACACAGACAAATCTGTATCCCTCTATCTTTGTTTCTTTTAACAACAAAATGTTTGATTTTCAATATATTCAAGAATTACTGCAATAAGAATCAACATGCTAGGGCTTGCCTTGCACGTGTGAGGCACTGGGTTCCATCCTAAGCACCACATAAACATAAGGAGACCCTAATGGCTATACAAAATATATGTATGATGATGTGAGGGGGAAAAAAAAGAAATGTGTCACATTAGATTGGTAGAGAGAGGTGAGGAGAGGGGAGGGTGGGGGAAGAGGGGACAGGAAGGGCAGCAGAATAAAATAGACACTAGTATTGCTGTATGAATATACTGTGGCTGAACCAATGTGATTCTGCAATCTGTACACTTGAAAAAATGAGAAATTATACCTCATTTGATTCAAATGTATGCTATGTCAAGATCATTGTATTATCATGAGCAACTAATTAAAAAAAGACCCCAAATACCACCTAATTAAAACAACAACCCAAAACATACTGTCCCTCTACAACTACAAAAAAATTAAAAATAAAAAGAATCAACATGCTAACTCCTAATTATAGAAGAATGAGCCAATAAATAAAATAGATTATCTGAGATAAACTTAGATTGGGATTATTTTGCTTCATATACTGGGCATCCATTTTGCACAGATGATTGGTTGCCAAACAATAAAAATATTGCAGTCCCTTCTTTAAGGAGGTTACAGATTAGTGGGAATGGACTTTTGCTGAAGTAATGCATTTTAATACAAAGAAAAATTTAAACGCAGTTCTTTAGTAGTTTATTTCCATTATTTTCCCCAGATAAATCCAAGTAAAATACATTCCCCCTTTAAATAAAGTATATAATTAAATTATATTAGCACAGAGAAATATATGGAGTTACTTTACCGAAGTTTAGTAATGGTTACACATGAGTGATGTTTGCCTAATTTTTAAAAATTCAGCATGTATATCCAAAGGCAAACGTACTTTCAAAAATTAAGTTACTATTCCTAAAGCAAAACAAAAGAAGTGGTGTGGGATACTTTAATGAAACTAGGAAATTTAGCTAAGAGTTTGGAGTTTCCGTGCATAATGTTCATAAATGGTTATGGCAAGAACGTTGTCCTGGCCCTAAAAGCAACCTAGCCGGCAGCACCCCCTTTTCTGAGGTTTCATTCCTTCCAGTCAGAATTGCGGAAACCCAGGCACGGGCAGGTTCTTTCATTCCAAGCCCTCAAAACCGCGATAAACTTGGTAGGAGCAGCTGATTGGCTACAAAACAAATGACGCAATATATCCCAACACCACTCAGAGTCAGAGTCAGCAAGCCTAGCTCAGATTGCGTTTTCTGATTGGTCCCTACGGCAAGAGTGCAGGGACAATTGCTGAGGTTGACCTCTGGTTCCGGAACCGAGGGCGAAGATGGCGGCCTCCCGGTGCTGGAGGTTTGTGCCTCGCGGTCGAGGGCCGTCATTGCACACCGCTGCCGAGACTAACTCCACGGCCACGGGAACGATCAGCCCAGATGTGTCGGCGACCTCCGTTGCGCGGTACCCGCCGATTGTGGCCTCCTTGACCGCCAAGAGCAAGGCGGCACGGCAGCGGCGGGTGGAACGCTGGCAGGCAGCGGTGCACGCGGCCAAGTCGGTGGACGAGAAGCTGCGAATCCTTACGAAGATGCAATTCAAGAAGTACGTGGTTTACCCGCAGACCTTCGCCCTGAACGCCGATCGCTGGTACCAAGGCTTCACCAAGACTGTGTTCCTGTCGGGTCTGCCTCCTGCGTCCCCCGAGGCCGAGCCGGCGCCGGCGCTGGACCTGGCTGCCCTGCGCTCTGCCGTGTGCGACTGCCTCCTGCAGGAACATTTCTACTTGCGGCGCAAGCGGCGGGCGCCCCTCTTCCAGGAGCGGGAGGCTATCGCTTCGCCCTTCTTGGATCAGCTGGTGGCGACCCTCACGGGATTGCTCAGCCCGCTCAACCCCGTCCTGGCTGCAGCCGCTCTTGGTGAGCTTCGGGACCCTCACCACGTATGCAGCTTCCCTCTCTGTGTGATAACCCTAACCCTAATAGCTTAAGCTCTTCGGGAGTCTGACTTGACTCTGCTTTGTGATTGTCCAGCCAAGTGAAGAGCTGTGGTTAAGAAAAGAGGCTCCTAGGGAGCAGTACAGACCTGGGTTGCTTTGGGCTCTTAAAAAATCGGTGGGACAATAATATGTGAATTCATTAATATCTTTTACCATATTTTTTTCTTATTTCAAGTTGAGAATTATGGTAATAGTGCTTCTTCATTAGCATTGTGGCGATTAAGTGATATATTAAGTAGAATACCTAACCTTCAGTATTTATTGTGTGCCAGGCCTAATTTCAAATTTTATGTGTGCCAGCTAATCCTCTCAATAACCATTTACAGGAGGTAGCATGATTGCCTGATTTTATAAATGAAAAACAAAATGGCACGCAGAAGCTAATCATATCTAGTCTAAGACTATACTTGGTAGATTTACAGATAAAGATTCGGACCCAGCAAATAATTTAACAGCTTCTTTCTAACTGTTCATATAGACATGAAAAATAATTAGCGTATTTTAAAAATCACTGTTCCAGTACATTCATTTTTATGTGTATCATCTAGTGGGTGTCTTAGTGTTGGTAGTATTAATGTTGTTATACCTGTAGGCATGTGCTCAACTGATTTTTGTAGTGTGCAGTATTTCCCTTTCTCAGTTGGGAAGGAAATGGTATTAAGGGGAACTTTGGTGAACTTTGAGATTGGTGGTTTACTAAACTTTCTTTGTCAAGCCTCAGATACCTCTTATACAAAATAGAAATGATTGTAACTGTAAGTACCTTTTTCAGTAATTGTGAAGATTGAATTATTGAACCATTTTAATTTCTGGTGACTGGTATTCCTGTTGGTCTTATTTTATATGTTTTCTTAGCTAATTATTTTCTTTGGTTACAGGGTTTAGTAACCAAAGAAAATAATTATAATTATTAATGTTGGCACAAGTAGATGTTTGAGTGCTATATTTAAGCCACAATAAATTGTCATATAATCCCAACTCTTTAACTTTTGATATATTTTTAATTAGACGATCATCCTTAAGTTGTCAATTGCTAGTTAGTATTCTGTTAGATTTATCTGATTATTCAGATGAGAAAATTTTGGATATCTTTTAACAGATCATAAGCGGCTAGTTCATTTTTACTGGATGCGTGGTGAAGAAATTATTTCTTCTGGTCATCGAAAAGGTCGAGTTGATGCTTTGCGATACCAAATAGATGATAAACCACACAATCAGATTCGAATATCCAAGCAACTCCCAGAGGTAAGGGTTTAAGGCATTTATATTTATTAACATCTGATATAGGAAATGTAGGCAGATCAAGTGATGGGCTTACTAAATAAAAGTGAAATATTTTGGTTTGATCTCTTGCCATTCATGTTTCCTTTGTAAACCACTGAACTGAAAATCATTTTTAGTTTTTCCCTCTGGTATGATATATTCTTCAGAGGCCAAGTAATCATTTCAAGTGAGGTTAAGTTTTCATGATTGTTCAGACCTTTTTCTTTTCTGTATATCAATATGCTATAATAGTTTATGATTGTAATTTACACATATTAGCTAGTCTGATTTTTAGTTGTGAACTGGGTCATTTTCCATATTTGCAGTTCTTTTGAAAGAAAGTCACTGCATTTTGAGTGCTTTTTGTGCTGCCATGTCAGATTGGCATACTTTTTCTGTAAAGGTCCAAATTGTAAATATTTTAGGCTGTTCAGGCCTTAAGTCTCTGTTGGAACTATTTGGCTCTCATCTTACGGTGTAAAAGCAGCCATATACGATGTATCATGTATCAGTGAATGTGTACGGCTGTGTTCCAGTAAAACTTTATTTGTAAAATTAGGGGGCTGGGTAGATTTAGCCCATCCCTAGATGGTGGTACACATTGAGTATTTCTATTATGAAAATCTGAAATGCTTCAAAATCTGAAATTCAGAGCATGTCATATTTTTTGGAGTAGGGATGCTCAACCTGTAAAGTCTTCCAAAGAACTCTGAAATCTGAAATGCTTCTGGTCTCTAGCACTTTAAGATACTTTGATGATACATATGATTAGATCATTTTTCAAAGAACATCTCATTTAAAAATTTTGGATCTAATAACAATGTACATAAAATAGATACTGTTGTTGTGAATTCATTCTTTTATTTTTTCTTTAAGTTTGTGCCATTGGATTATTCTGTTCCTATAGAAATCCCTGTTATGAAATGTAAACCAGACAAGCTTCCATTATTCAAACGGCAATATGAAAACAACATATTTATTGGTAAGTTTCTTTTTTTATATATTGTACCATAAATATGTTCAAAGTGTGCTGTGCTGTATAACTTTGGAGCACTAGCTATAAAAATAATTCTTGGTGACTGAGAGCTTCTGTTTGTATAATTTATAATCTCAAGTTATTGCAACATGCAAGAATATTAGAAAGAAATTCTTCCAGCACATTTTTTGAAATTCACTAACAGTATTTAACTTTAAAATTATACTTACTAGGTTTTGTTGATTTATTGTATGGGAAAAGTAATTTGCTTTTTCAAAAGCAAAAATGTTTAGAACTGGATCTGGGACAGTAATTGCACTTTAATCAGAAATTAACAAGGGATTCAGAAATTAACAAGGCCTCTTGTCTTCCCACATGCAACTTATTTTCATATTTTTTATTCCTTCATTAATTCCTAGTTGACTTGAGGAAGATTTTAAGCAAGCTTTATACTTGTCCTCCAGACCTATTTTATCTGTCCCTTTTCAGGCATTGTAGTCTTAAGGAATGACCCAAGGGGGACATTTTTAAAAAGACATTACCAATGAAATCAAGAATGTTAGTTCATGAAATATTACTCATTTTCTTTTTACTTATAATTGTAGTATAAAAATGGTTTTATTAGTAAAATACACATTCTTTAATTATTACATTAAATAATCAAGGAAGTTTTAAATTCATAAAATGTATCCTGTGGTAAATATGACAAAGTTTAACAGAGCTCCTAATGACAACCAAGACATTTGAGAAATTGAAATAATAGAGAATTTTCAATAACTTTTACATATATTGTTGTAGCTTACTTTGATCATAGTGGACTTTATGAGAAAAATCATACTTTTACGTGAGATTTAATTTTATTATAGTCAATAAAATAAATGAATTAACATTCTCATTTATGTAATTTTGAGAACAGATTACTGAAGACATGCTTGAACTGAATACTAAAATGTGTGCTTCAGATATTCCACAGGATCAGTTCATGTGAATGTTTTTGTTTTGTTTTTCAGGCTCAAAAACAGCAGATCCATGCTGTTATGGCCACACCCAGTTTCATCTGTTACCTGACAGATTAAATAGAGAATGGCTTTTGAAACGAAACCGTGCTGACCAGATAGAAGTTATTTTTAGAGCTAATGCTATTGCAAGCCTTTTTGCTTGGACTGGAGCACAAGCAGTGTATCAAGGTAAAACTAAATAGATGGCATTATTGTTCTTTGAAGGTTATCTATGACATTGTAAGAATGTAATTATTTAGGTTGCTTTCTTTGGTTAAAATGAAGATATCTTAGCAGTTTGAAAATTATTATGTTGACACCAAATAGAATTGGTTTAAAACCCATAATTAAATATTTTACATTTCTAATTGGAAGAGACATTTGAATAGTTATTTTGATTTTTTTGTTTTTATTTTGACTGCCTCCTGTGTGAACATATTTTTTCCCAATGGTTTTCATAACCATTGTAAGTAAGACTTGCTATTACCACTGAACTACTTCCCCAGTTCTTTTTTATTTTTATTTTGATTCAAGGTCTTGCTAAATTGCTGAGGCTGGCCTCCAGCTTATGATCCTCCTGTCTAAACCTCCTGGATCCCCCGGATTACACACATGGACCACCATGCCTGGCTTATTGTTAACTCTTTTTGTAGTTCCTAACAGTTTTCTGAAGGTAGAAGAGGAAATGATTTGAAGGATTAAATGTTTAGATTAAATTATGGCTATCCTATTTCATTTCTTTAAAGGCTATGTCCAGAATTTGGATTAGGAGATTGTTCCACTCATTCAGTAAATGATCAGTGGTTTCATTTGCCAGACACTGTTGGCTTTGGGGATACTGTGTTGAATAAAAGACAGATCTTGCTCTCCTGGAGTATAGTGGGAGGGGAAAAGATAATAAGCATGTACTATTTTCAGAGAATGGAACAAATATACTATTATAAAGGGTAGAATAATTTATGGGGGTGGATGTAAATGAAGTATGAGGCAAAATCCATATTGCTGGAATCAATAAGGGTGATCTCTAAAAAATGGTTTGAACAGAGACATGCATGGTGAGGAGCTATCTATGCATAATGGGAAAAGACACATCCTGATAAAAGGAATGGCAGGTAAAAAGTCTGAGGTAGGAACAAGCTTGAGTTATTTAAGGAACAATATGAAGGCTGATGAAAGAAGAGCTGGGGAGAGTGATGAGGAATGAGAGGAATCTGGAGGCTATATCATGTAGACTGTTTATTTATTCTTCAGTTCTGAGATTGAACCCAGGGCCTCTGCCTTCTAAGCAAAAGCTTCACCGTTGAGCTACAAACCTCACCCTCATAACACTTTTATTGTAAAACCTGAAGTAATATAATTATCCAGGAGGAATTTTTGTATCTTTGATTTTCGTTTTGTTTTGTTTTGCCTTATGGTATTAGAGATTGAATTCAGGGGTGCTTTACCACTGAGCTACATCCTCAGCCCTTTTTTTATTTTGAGACAGCATCTTGCTCAGTTGCTGATTCTGGTCTCCAACTTGGAATCCTCCTCCATCAGCCTTCTGAGTCACTGGGATTATACACATGTACCACCACGCCTAGCTTCTGGGAGGAATTTAGATATAGACCTGCTAAAGACTAGGCTTACCTTTTACTGTGTGTGTGTGTTCGTGTGTGCGCACACATATATGCACTGAATGGAGAAGGTGAGAGGGGTAGACAGAATCAGAAAAATGTGAGAGGAACTTTGTTGAAGGTGTTAGAATGGCCCTCTTTATTCATGAAAAAAAGTTTTTTTTACGTTAGATTTAATTTCATACTTTAACAATATTTATTGGCTGTCTCCATTAAAGATGCTATAAAATATGTGTGAAGTAAAGTTGTTGCTTGGCCTTGGCAGATGAATTTTTTAAAAAGCCAAAAAAATTGAGTGGTAAAGGTATTAAGGCATCCTGGAGCCTTATGACGTAAGACGCTAGGCTAAATGATAGCAACTCATAAAACCAGTTTGGAAATATATAAAGGAATATAATGAATTTAGCTAAGGATATGTTGAACTGCAGAAAGACAGTTTTATCTGAAGGGGTGTGTGTGTGGCGCGTGCGCATGTGCACACATGGATTTGTCAAAATAAATGGCCAGTATGGTTATTGGGTGGTAGATGTTCCTGGTTTCAGAAAGTTTGAATGTATTTGCTGAAATCAGTGAGGAATAAAAGTACTTCTAGATGTAGGATGGATATGCATACACAGAGCTTCATGAACTTTAATTAGATGAAATAAAGTTGGAATCTGAAGACTGATAATGAAAAAAATGCATCATGAGTTTGGAAATACTAGCTAGAAGGGAGGAAATAAACGTTGATGCAGAAATTGACTATAGGATTGAGATGAAGAAGACAGGGAAACTTTGGATCTTCAGGTAAAATATTTAGGATGTAGGTGTTTGCTACTCTTTAATGTGTGTTTTATTTTGGTGAAATGTATTATGTGTGTAAATTTCAGCATTACTTTCTTCTACAGGATTCTGGAGTGAAGCAGATGTTACTCGACCATTTGTCTCCCAGGGCGTAATCACAGATGGAAAATATTTTTCATTTTTCTGCTACCAGTTAAATACTTTGGCATTGACTGCACAAGCTGATCAGAATAACCCTCGTAAAAATATTTGTTGGGGGACACAGAGTAAGCCTCTTTATGAGACAGTCGAGGATAATGAGGTGAAAGGTTTTAATGATGATGTCTTACTTCAGATAGTTCACTTTCTACTGAATAAACCAAAAGAAGAAAAATCACACTTGTTGGAAAAGTAGGAGAAATATTTCATTTAGGACTTTCAAAGTATTTAAATTTCATCAAAGGATCAATAAAAGGATTTTAAGTGTGCCACTTATAACTGTCAGATGTTAAATGTATTAATTTTTGAGACGTGTGTTTCTTATGTTAACTTGTGATTAGATCTCTCATTCTATTCAAATTCATTACTGAAAGATTTTATTTTGAATACAGTTGATTTAAAGTAATTTTGTGTACATCCTATTTACTGAAATATTAATTTGGTTTTCTTTAATACCTTGAGAATCCCTATTTGAGTGTGATTTTAAAAGTAATATGGCAATATTTTAAATATTTGAGAATCTATGTATCATACTTATCTTTGTTGTTTTGGTTTTAATTTTTTTATTTTTGTTATCATTGGTACAAAGTTTCAGAGCCTTACTTAGACCCCTTCAAAATATGAGCAGTCCATTTCACATTTAGTAAACTAATGCTTTATTCTTAATCTTGGTTTGAACAGAAAAGAAAAATAGAAAAGTATTAATAGTATACTTCACTGAGAGAGTCTTATGTTTTAGTCAACACCCAACCTTTGCCTCATGGCTAAACATAAGTGATATTCCCATTGGAAGGAAAAATGAGATCACCAACTTTGACCTTCACTGGCTTGCTAGTCTACTTCACACGCCCAGAATCATAGAAGTAGGCATTCAGTAGATGTGAATGGATGTCAGTAAATTAAAGTAGTCTTTCTGGTTTCTAGTTTGAGATCTGGCATATGTTATTTATTTATATCTTTCACATCTCAGTAAAGCTTAAGGTTTTCATTACGTAGATATCTACATAGTTCTTATTTATGCCTAAATTTTTATGTTATTGTGAATGTATTTGTTCTTTTCAATTATATTTTTATAGCTTCTAAAAATGGCTGATGTTGGTTGCTGTATAATTTTGTAAAAGACCAATTTAGTTAGCTTAATAAATCAGTGTTTTCAGCTCACTTTCATGAGGTATTTGTGTCCAGTCTATTTTGTATTCTCCTGAAATTACATATTAGCATGCATAACCATTAACTCCCTGTAGCATAATTCATTGGACAGTTTCTATCCATACATAAATTACATCTTAAATCCAATGGCAATTCCATTACACAGTTATAGAAATAAATCATGACTTTCTTTAAAAAATTTAAAAAGCCAATACGTAACCTGTACATTAAATTTCAGACTGTACAAATTGTTATAAAAGTTTCAAGAGCCAGTATCAAGTATTAAATGCTGTTTACAAAAACTTCACCAAGTGAAATGCAGAATCTATAGGATAAAAAGCACATAATGAATTTTAACTTATCCTAAGAGTTGGTCCCTGGAAACTGAAGATTTAAATACTACCTATAAAGTACTTATTTTTAAAATTTTTTTAAATGAGATATTCCAACAGGCCAGCACTATGGTCTGAATGCTTGTTTTTCCCCCAAATTCATGTTTAAATTCTAACCTCCAGGGCTATGGTATTAGGAGGATGAGCCCTTTTCAAAGGTGAGGCCTTTTGGAAAATATTTGGAAAGGAGCTCTGTTCTCTTAAATGGAATTATTATCCATATAAAATAGGCCTATGACAGTTCATTCATCCCTTGTACCATGTGAAAATAGTAAGAAGGAACTATTCATGAACCAGAGAGCAGGTCCTCGCCAAATACTGAATCTACTGTCTCCTTTATGGACTTCTTGACCTTTGGAACTGTGAGAAATAAATTTCTGTTTATCATGTCTTACCACCCAGTTTATGGTATTTTGTTAATGTACTAAGACTACTAGTAAAAGTAATCAGTATGCCTGTTTTTGTTCTAGCTTGTGCATAATGCTTTAATTAAAAGGTAAAGTTAATTTTACAGAAAATTGTTAAGACTTGATTTTTAAATTCTTCATTTACAATTATAGAAAATATTATGGCTTCCTTATAGAGGCAGAATAAAATAATAATTGAGCAAGGTACAAGGAAGACAAATGGTCCAGAATCGCTACAGAGAATGTCAAAAATAGATGTGAACAGGCCTGCATATTTACAACATCAGTATTGATCAATATTTGATTGGGTTGAATTTCTAAACTCAAAAGACTGCTCTATTGTCCAGTTTGGTTAGAAGATTTTGTAAAACAGAATAGTAACAATGAAAAATAAAAATCAGAGAAGAATAGAGATGCCACAGAAACTGAGAAATTGTAAGTAATAATGTTTCAAGGGTTGAGATATGATTACTGATTTGGGAATAGCTGCTATGCAAATAAAAAACTTATTCTACATTAACTATAACATATATGGCTATATGACTTTAATTGTCTCAGCATATTTTAAATATTTCTGGAATATCCTTTTTAAGTATGAGTTAATCACCATTTCTCACTCATTTCTGTTCTTTTCCTTTGAAAAATACCAAATTCTTTCTCAGATTTTTATTGCATTATGTGCTTTTTTATCCTATAGATTCTGTATTTTACTTGGTGAAATTTTTGTAAATAGCACTTAACACTTGATACTGGCTCTTAAAACTTTTATAATAGTTTGTACAGAAGTCTGAATTTAATGTGTAAGTTGTGTTTTGACTTTTTAAATTTTTTTAAAGAAAGGTGGTTATAAGATGATTTATTTCTACAATTATGTAACAGAATTGCCATTGGATTTAAGATGCAAGTGATATTTTCTAGAAATCAATCAAATTGATGAGAAGTCTATATTGATAAATATAAATGATATCTCATTTGCTTTTTTATAACCTTTCATATTTTTGTACACAGTAAATGAAATTTTATTGTAATCCTTTGTGGCAATGTAGACTTAATGAGTAAAAACTCATCTATCAACCAGAAACTGAAGGACAAGCCAGACTTAGTGGTGCTACCTTATAATTCCAGCTACTTAGGAGGCTGAGAAAGGATAGTAAGTTCAAGGCTAGCCTGGGCAACTTAATGAGACCCTGTTTCAAAATTAAAAATGGCTGGGGGTGTAGCTCAGTAGTAGAGCTCCCTCATATTCAATCACTAGTAACACACAGAGATACACACACACTTACAAACCACCAAAAAAATAACCTGAGGACAAAATATATCTGTGTTTTATAATACGTATTTAAGTGAATAAAAAATTGATGTCTTAATATTTTAAATATAAGCTCAGAATATTTCTATGAAAATTGTGTGCTGATATAGAAACCTATAAATTTAGCATATTTTAAATTATATATACATAAATATACACACATGTAAAAATCTATATGTTTGTATATATAAAATAGGAATCTCATTTTTGCCTAGGCCTTATTCATACTGTGTGTGTATGTATATATATGTATATATTATAGCAGTATGCACCCCAAATTGTCAATAAGCTTTATGAAGGATCCAGGCTATACTTAATTATTTTAATTGTAGTTTAAAATTACTGAAAGCTGTCCTGATTTTCAGATAATGAATATTTGCATGAGGTTTAGTCTCCTGGAAAGTATTTGGGTGTCATGTAAAACTTGACTTTTATTTGCAAACTAGCAATATTTCTGTTATAAGTAATTTGTTATTATTTCTTCAAACTCATTTGTTGTTAATAGAACTAATAGAGAAGATAGGCAAGATTTAAAGCTGAAAGGGGCAGCAGTTAATTTCAGTGACATTGGTACCCAATTCACTATTTGTTAATGTGTTCTATTCAAAAATTAAGTATTCAGATTTCTGCATTTTCTTGAAAAATGGGAAAATCTGACAGCTTCAAGTTTATGTTCTTAAATGTCAACAAAAGCATACAGAAGCTGGAATAGTTAGTTTTATGTCCCTTTAGCTGGGGCATACTCCTTTTTGTCACAGTTCCCACTGCTCCTTATTTCTCTTTACCTGGCCAACACTATTGGTCCTTCCTCACTAATTTCTGTGATATTTTTTCCTGTGGCATTGAGTTTATGACTCCTGAGGCCTAAATAGCTGTTAAGAACTTGCATTATTGCTAGAAAATCTCATCCTTTACAGTTATTCTTTAGGCTTGAGAATCTTAATTTTCTAGTAGTAGACACTGTAATAATAATAAATCAAAGAAATTCAATTTATTTTAAATAATTAAGTGAAATAAAACCTCTAACCTAGACTGGGGTTATAGCTCAGTGGTAGAGTCCTTAACCTAGCATGTGTGAGGCACTGAGTTCAATCCTCAGCACTACATAAAAATAAAGAAATAAAATAAAGGTATTGTGTCCATCTACAACTAAAAAATAATATATATTTTAAAAACCTTTGGGGTAGAAGATGCTATATGAATGTATCTGGCAAAATATTTGAACTTACATTACCCTTTATTCTCTGCTAAATGAATTGCTAACTGATTTATTTGGGCGATTTACTTATTGTACGATTAATAATTTATTGTGAATTTTTATAGAACCAAAATTGGTGGCCAGAGAGTATTTGCATGCTACACCAAATATGAAGTTTCCCTTTCTAGTCTAAATTAGGTTGTGCTGCTCTCTCTACTTTAGGAAGAATAAATAGTTATAGTGCTTTTAAAGGTTGAACCCTTGGTGGCCTACATGGTGATTCATGTACAGACTGGCTTAAAAGTTGTAAAGTAACCCCATTAAAAAAAATAATAATAACCCTTTCAACCTCTGCTCCCAAAATTGATGGACTAGATTTCCCCAGTCTTTCTACAATACCTGGCTGCATATAGCACTTGAAGGCTTTGGGGATCTAAAAAGGTTGATAATAATTGCCAGACATAAATGGCAGAAAATGCTGCTTTGCTTTGGATGGGAGAGTTTTTTCTAAGAGACTGAAAGGATGAGTAGTGTTCTAATAGCCTTGCAAAAAGCTACAAGGGCAAAAGTTATTAAGCTATAGGACTTTTGATGCCAGTGGAATTGTTTAGTTTGTGGTTCTGAAGGGCAGCATCCTAAAGGTAAGGGGTGAAATAAACCATTAGAAAAGAATGTATATCTAGGTAGCTCAGAAACTTTAAAATTTTGAATGTTTATTACAGTGACCTTAGATTTCTAAGACCTCTAGGAATCTGAAAGAAGCAAACCTGGAGGAACAAATTTTCCTAGACCTCCAAATGTTTCAACAAATACTTCTTCAAATAAAGGATCTTCAGATAAGAACCAGGCACAGGAAGAAAAAGAAAGAATGAAAACCAACAGAAACAATAGACCCAAAGAGCCACCAAATATTGGGACAATGAGATAGACTAAATATGTTTTCTGCATTCAAAGAAATAAAAGATTGAAATGTTCAATATGTAATTGGAAACTACCATTTATAAATAAGTCAATTATTAATATAAGAATTGGTAAAAACAATGCAGTCAAGAAAGTTGAGACTCCAAACATTAGTTATTGCTGCATAACTTCAGTGCCACAAACTTGGTGACTTAAAATAGCACACATTATTATATCTCAGTTTCTGTGGGTTTCTCTACTTCAGGCTGCAATAAAAGTCTCTTCTGAGGGCTCACCTAGGGAAAGATCTGCTTAAAATTCATGTATTTGCTAGTAGGTTATTGAATTGGGGGCCACAGTAGCTTCCTGGCTATTAGTTAGTGGCATCCTTCTATTCCTTGCCCCATGAACCTCTCATTTAAAGCAGTTTACAACTTGAAAGGATTTATTTATATTTACTTCGGAAAAAAATGTTTTCTTAAATAGATGTTCCTTTTTCAAGTAGCATTGCCTCATGGGCAATGATGATACTTGTACATATACTCATGTTAACATTACAGTGTCCATCTGCCCCTCTAGGCCCCTCTCCATGTTTTTGTGTCCTGACCAAGAAATACAATTCCTTGACTGCTGTGAGTTGGTCAGCTAGTGTTTCCCCTAGACTTGAGCCCAGTCCTGGGCCTTGAACATTCCCAGGCACTAGTGAACTTGTTCAGGTTGTTACTTGAAACACTGAAAAAGTCAAACATTACTAAACATAGAATTAGTGTGACTCTGAATCAGATAGCACAAACCCCCATATGAACTCCATACCCAT